TTTTTTTTTTTTTTGGGGGGGGGGGTCGCGAAAAAAAATCACAATCATAAATGGAGTCGTGAATAAAGAAAGTTTAAGAAGCCCTGTTGTAGATTGTTGGGCATCTTCTATAGGCTATTTGTAATTGTTGTTTTCCGGCGATCTCAGCGTATATCGCTTTAACATATGGGTTAAAGGTGACTGGGAGGCGTGTACGTTTATCCTGGTCAGTATTGGTCTTCGTAAGCGTAGTGGGTGCGTATTGTGAGCGTTGATGTCGCTCAATTAGACGGTGTATTAGACCATGGTAACCGTGCTTGGCTGCTATTTTCTTGATATAATTCAATTCGGTGTTGAGGGCTTGCGTGGTGGACGAGTGGGAAAAGGCCCTTTTAATCAAAGTATTAAATGCTGCAGCCTCGTAGGTGAATGGGTCGGATGTAATTCAATTCGGTGTTGAGGGCTTGCGTGGTGGACGAGTGGGAAAAGGCCCTTTTAATCAAAGTATTAAATGCTGCAGCCTTGTAGGTGAATGGGTCGGATGAACCTACCGGTATGTATATAGAGGCGGCATAAGGTTTACGGTATACCGACGTGACGATGGCGGATCATTCTACTTTAATGTTTATATCCAAAAAGTGGACCTCAGTATTGCTAGATTGTTCCATTTCCAGCGTTAGGCTGTAGGGATTATCGTTAACGGTTTGTACGAAATTTGAGATGTCAGAAAACACATACTCAAAGATACAACACTCACAAATGACACATGCAGAAAATGTCACATCATGCCAGAAACTATACAACACATCACTTTTGGGTGCAAGCTCTTGGCACAGACAGATTACTTACATAGACACAATCAAGTAGCAAATATAATACACCAAGAGCTTGTAAAGAAACACAAATTGGTAGACATCCACGAACCATACTACAAGTATATTCCCCAAACAGTATTGGAAAACAACACGCACAAAATATACTACAACAGAGCCATAATCACAGATAAAACAATTTACCACAACAGACCAGACATCACACTCATTGACGAACACAATAAAATCACATACATTATAGATGTATCCATTCCAAACACTCACAATGTACAAAACACATGTACTGAAAAAATCAGTAAGTACACAGAACTCGCCCAGGAAATCAGGCATCTGTGGAGGATGGATAAAGTGCTTATTGTACCTGTTGTTCTCTCCTGTACAGGTGTGATACTTCACATGCTACACAAAAGCCTGGGAACATTACAATTGAATATAAACACATACATCACACTACAGAAGGCCACTATATTGAATACATGCCATATTGTTAGGAAATTCCTAAATATAGACACTGGCACACTTATTAAATTTTTGTCTTGTTTTGGTTGCTATGCCTTGACTCTGGCATAGTACACAGCCACTGGCATCAACTGAGTATAGCTCACTAAACCCAACATAATAATAATAATAATAATTTTTTTTTTTTTAGTGGACTGTTGGGATGGTCCAGACGGAATGCCTTATGTGTTCCATGGCCATACTCTTACAAGCAAAATTAAATTTTACGAAGTCATCAAAGTAATTAAAGAACATGCTTTTGTTACCTCAGAGTAAGTACATTTCTTCTAGAAAACAAATATTTATTTAAACGAGATGTAAAATTGAATATAACAATGTCACATAACTTTCTAGCATCATTCCATGCAAATTAATTAGGATTGATATTTTTATAAGATAAATACATAAAAATTTATTTTATTATGATTAAAGAGAATATTTATGCAATAATAAGATNTTCAGATGTTAATTTAGTATCAAAAACGTAAAATATTTGAGTAGCCCAAGACATAGCCAAAGATTGAAGCACCACAGCACTGGCGAAAATTTAAATTTGTTGACGAATTCTTTCGGATGATTGAATTTCGGAAAATCGATGCTCTACTGTAATGTTAATTTATCAATTATTTCATTTATCATCAAGAAATTCATTAGATACTACATGAATCAAAGAGAAGATATTTGTTTTACTAATGTTAACATCATTTTTTCATTTTTGTTTTATGGTATTACAAGATTGTTATAAAAAGGCTATAGATTTTCTTTGGTAAAAATGTTCCTGACATTTTTATTAAAGAATCTTTAGAAATTCTAAATTGAAAAATTTTTCAAAGACAGTGTTGGCAAACTTAATGTCATCTCCCTCTGCTTAATATTTCTTCCTTAACTTGTTATTTCTTTTTGTCATAAAACAATACCAAAATCCAACTTTTATTTTATATATGTTTCATTCATATATAATTTGGAAATATTTTATTTTGAATCCTTTTTTGCTTGAAGAAAGTTGATCAATCAAGCAAAAGTCTTTGCTAAGGTTTTAATCTGTAATTTTAGTGTTCATTAAACCCTCTATTGTTTCCTGTATCAGTGGCTTAAATTTATGTTTCTTAAATTCCATTTATAAAACAGATAATCACTTACATAAATATTAGACAACCCCATGAGAAACTAAGAAACAGATGATGCTAAAGAGATTAAAAAATCTCTAATTTTTTTAATCACAATATAAGCATTTTTTGGGACTACACATCCCATCAACAGAATCTTTACAAAAAATAGAACACAAGTCAGCAAAGCATTCCATTGGTAAACTTTTCCAAACAACTGAAAAAAGCAAAGGTAGTTGCAATTCTGTAACATTGGATTTCATAAATGTTGATACCATGTTTTAAAAGTTTTTGAACAGTTGAAATTTGAAACAGTTGCACACACACACACACACACACACACACACACATTNCTACCATTACCATTTTCGTGTAATTAACATATATCATATATTATTATAACAAAGATGATGATGATAAATTAATATATATAATTAAAATTATAATCTACTGCAATCAGAGTTTTCATTTTTTGTCGTCAAATTTTCTTGTCTTATTTTGGATATATTGGTACACATTCACAGTAAGAACCTTCAGTTCTACAGTTAAAACAAAGTAAAAACATGAAGATAGATAGACTGCAAATATAAACTTCTACAAACTTGATTTTTACATTAAAGCTGTTGGGTCGGTTGTTTTTGCATGTGTTAAACCTAACGACTGGGCTTCAATCTGGAACTGATCAGGTTACACCTACGTGTGGGCCCACAATTTGAGGATGTCTTTTGTTTGGGTCAGCTAGATGAACAGGACATGACCGGGGTCCAGTCTGACCATTTTAACCAATTCTTTGTTAGATGTAGGGTAGCGATTTTTATGATTAGAGATCTTTACACTCTAAGATCCTAACAGTGGTGACTAGGATTTAGGATTAAGAATACAGTGATGGACCCGCAATCAGTGAAATCACTCATAAAATCATTACTCGCAGAACAACAGGAGGCCGCACGATGCCGAGAGGAGGCTTTATACAAACTTATCAAAGACATTTGTTCGTCTACATACATACACCTTCCTCATCACCTTCATTGTCATCATCGTCCACAGGAACACTCCCTCAGTTACCAGAATTTCAACCAGATGAAGAAGACGACTCAAAATTCGATGAGTGGATAAGTTGTTTTGAGTTCACTTCGGACTGCACTGCACCCAAAATGGCCGACCAGGAGAAAGTCAAGTTTCTTATGACTAAACTTTCTGCATTTGCCTTCAGTGAGTACAATAAGTACTGTATGCTGAAGTATATTATGGACTTTGACTATGAGGAAACCACTTCGCAACTTTTTGGCAAGAAACATTCAATTTTCGCAGACTGCTATGACTGTCTGCGCATTGCAGTTGACTATGGTGAAGATTTCTGCCATTTCATGAACTGAGTGAGAGCAGCCCAATGACAATATAACTATCATGCTCAGACGGAAGAACGGTTCTTTTGTCTTATCATTCTCACTGGACTTAAGTCGAAAGCCCATGAGTCATTATGCGCTCGAATTCTCCAGAAGCTTAACTCAAATGGAGAAAGTGTTACATTCAACAACATGATGAATGACTGTGAAGAGTTTATAGCAATGCGTTCTGAAAATAAGTTGTACGAAGAAACAGAATGTCTTGTTAATAACATTTACGCCAAGCCCCCACCTAAAGAAGAAAAGATCAAGAATGTAAATTGTCTACCAAGTACTTGCAAGCAATGTGGCAAGTGGCATTGTTACAAAGACTGTCCACACATAAGACACAAGGGCCAAAAGTGCAATTGCGTAGGACATTTAGAAAAATTATGCTGATGACCACAGAAGAAAAAGCAAGTGTGCTTCTCCAGGGTAGGAATTATCCAAAATTTTGTAAATGCCTGCCGACTGCTAAAAGTGAGGATTGAGGTTAATGGACACCCAGTCAACTTTTATCTTGACAGTGGATCTGAAATTAACATTATCGATGAAACGACATACGATGCTATCAGATGACCCAAACTCCAGTCTTGTACAGAATGAGCCAGCTCTTATGATGGAAGTACTCTTTTGCCACCATTCTTAGGGAAGGGATGCACCACCTCCTGTCACAATGATGTCCGCAAAGAACTGTTCTATGTAGCCAAGAAAGGAACTCTCAACCTCGTCAGTATTGATGCTATGCACCACTTCCAATTTTTCGCTGCTAAGGTCTGTGATGTCAGCACCTGTCAGAAGTCAAACAATGAGCATTGAGTCAAATGGTTGCAGCACAACTTTCCAGAAGTTTTCGAGAAGGACTGGGACTCTGCAAGGTAACAAAAGCTTTGCTAATGTTGAAGCCAGATGTCACACCTGTCAAACGCAAGGCCAGATCAATTCTGTGTGCCTCACGACCGAAAGTGGAAGAGGAACTTGATCACCTGCTGAACATAGGAGTCATCAAACCTGTCAACTACGACAAATGGGCTACTCCCATCATAGTAATTACGAAACTTAATGGTTTGTTAAGACTGTGCATGGACTACTCAACAGGTCTCAACAATGCTCTCCAGCTCAATCAAGCACCCCTTACCACTTCCAGAAGACATCTTCTCCATGCTCAATGGTGGTCGAATATTCTCACAAATAGACTTTTATGATACTCATTTGCAAGTGGAATTTGAGGACACATCCAAGAAACTCTGCAACATTGCAGCACACCATGGATTCTACGAATTCTAACGTCTTCCATTTGGAGTGAAGTAGGCTCCAGGCAGTTTCCAATCGATCGTGGATTCCATGATCGGGACTATCATATCGCCTTTGTATATCTAGATGATATAGTCGTCATTAGTGGCAAAGTGGACGATCATCACTGACATCTCCATAAGGTGTTCTGTCACATCCACAACTATGGGTTCTGAATCTGACTGGAGAAGTGCGCATTCTTCAAGGATTCCATCAAATACTTAGGCTACATTGTCAATAAGGACGGATGCTGCCTAAACCCTTCTATGGTCGACGCTATCATCAATATGTTGCTGCCAACAGACCTATACACACTTTGCTCATTTCTCGGTATGGTAAACTACTACCGTGTTTCCCCGAAAATAAGACATCCGCAGAAAATAAGACCTAGCACAGATTTTGCTGAATTGCGAAATATAAGACCTCCCTCTGAAAGTAAGACCTAGCGAAGTTTATTTTTAGTTGTAACGGTCATCGACAGATGGTTGAAAGTGGCCGTTGGCTTTNGAATAATAATAATAAGTTTCAATAAAAATGATAAAATGAAAATTTAATTTTATCATTACGAGTTTGCTTGAATTTTGTTTCTTCTGAGATCGCAGCAATGCGCGACGGATAAGCTAGTGTTTTAATAATACCTAATAAAAAATACATCAATGAGACCTATGAAGGGGCTTACTAGCTAATAATTTTTCAATATTTGGTGACAAAGCTGATGTCAATAATAATATCAAATTTGAAATATGAGATGCAGTTAAAGAACTGCAGTATTTATTTTTTACATAGTGTAGAGTAGAAAAACCTTTTCGCTAATGTAAGTTGAGCGAAATCTCGTAGCATGCAATCGTAGCATAAATATTATTACTCAACACTTACCTATTTGAACATCAATTTATGTATATGTAACTATTCAAACAACAATCTGAAGAAGCATCCAACAATTTAATTTTAATACACAAAAGTTGACTCAAAACTAATAGAACAAGTATAATAAATGCATAGGTTAGGTATTAACAGTGGTGTGGCGGTGACTCAAGTCATAGTTCATTTCGCCTTCGATCAATCGACCAATCACATGGTGGTTGGCATTATTGATAGCACGAATCGTGAATGGTGACAGCCAACCATTACTGTGAGTGGGCAAATTCAAATGCATTGGCGGGCTACTTTGTGGCCTGCAGACCTGGGTTTGGGCAGCCTTGATTTAGGCAATTGTTAGATGTTTCTATGTAATCTTGTTTATAACTTTGTATTTGTTTGTTTCCATAGTTTATTTACTTCACAATTAATTCATTAAACAACAATTACAATCTCTGTTGCTGTTTGAACTGTAAACAAAACAAAATCTGTAAAACCGAAAATGAACACATTTATGTTTTGGCAACTAATAGAATGTACTATTTAAGTATGTATAAAATGTACTTGTAAACTATTTTAATTATTAATTGGAATGTTTGTAACAGTAATCAGCTTGTATTTTAGACTCTT